GWGYSYCTSKGKKTWWWMTCTMKWRTWKYSCCCCCCCCMMAAAAAAAAAGAAAGAGGAAACAAAGAAGGGAGGAGCTCATTCCTTTAGAGGTTTACGTGCCTCTTAGTATTATTATTTGGAGTTTGCCATATTCATAACAACCTTGTATTCACATATTTACAAGTTGTATTAAATGATTTTTAAAAATTGCTTTGGTGAACAAAAGAAAAATGTGCTTCTGACCAATGGTTTTCGGATCTCTTGATGACCACATTTTCATTTTAAAGTATAATGTGACTAGAAAATATAGGCTGATTTGTTGGAAAATTTTTGCCAAGACCACTGACTAAAAGTTCTTTTGCCTGGAGGATGTCATTCTCTTTGTAGAAATTATGAGTGGCTCGTCAGAGAATATATAGCTATTTCCCTATTTGGTGAAAAAGTGTGTGCTTCTTTTCCAAATGAGATTTTTCTTTGAAGGCTCAATAATTTAAAAAGGATTTGTTTTTAAGTTGAAGATTTTACTAATGTGATTATAAAACTTTTTTTTTCCTGAACAGTTTACTGAATTCTCTTAATGTGATAGCTGAATAATTTTCATTTCAGAAATAAGTTACTTTTAGTGGTCTTTTTCATGGAAAACAAAATTTTTAACAAGAGAATATTAAGAAATCTTGACTGAATTTCATAAAGTACTGTTATATCTTTTTGCCTAAATCTGCAACCCCATTTATTCCTTAAATTTCTCAGCTTGATGGAAATTAAAGAAAAAAATCTAAATTTTCTCTTAGAACTTAAAATCCTTAATGTAATTTTAAATATATCATAAGGAAAAGATAATTTTTATATATTTTACAGTTAAAACAGAAAAGAAGACGGTACAATTTAGTGATGATGTTCAGGTAGAAACAATAGAACCGGAGCCGGAACCAGCCTTTATTGATGAAGTAAGTGATTTCCTTGGTAATAGTGGTTGGTACTTTGTACTGAAATTGGAATTTTTTTAAATAATTAATTAGTTGAGTAATCTATTTTTTTGTTATAATAATAACTTAAAAAACATAGACAAAACACAGATCGCTTTTGAAATTTCCTCTCCCCCCGCCCCCCGCTATTTTTAATTCTATCAGGACCTCATTATTTTAGGTTCCTGCTTTATATTTCATGGATATACTCTTGATTTATTTAATTCCTCAACTGATGGGAAGTTTCTAGCTTTTCTTGCTAGCACAAACAGTGACATTTTTTCAACATTTTTCTTGGTGTTTCTTTAAGATGTACAAGAATTGAATTGCTGAATTGAAAGATCTGTGTGTTTTACATGTTGATACTGCCAAATTTTTCAGCAAAATAGGATTTTTACACTCACTGATTTTATGCAAGAGTACTTGTTTTCCAATTATACCCAACAAGCATAGTAAGATTGTTTGCACATTAGTGAGAAAGGCACACTTACTGAATGAATTTGTTGAATAAGCCAAACTATTGTTTCTAAAGATTAAATTGTCATTGGAATAAACCATGGTTTCTTCTTGTATTGAACACATTTGAGCTTTTGGGAAAAACTTATGCTAACTTTATGTTAAATGTCTCCATGTCATTGTTATTATCTGTAACAATGCTTACTTTCAGTGACTTGTTTGAAAATGCAGTGTCAATTTGGTGACAGTCATTTTTGGAGCCAATAATAGTGCCTAAACTTGTATTATTAGGATTTAAATATAGGCTTTTTAAATCACAATATCCTATTTACATAAGTTTTTGCTGAATTGAAGGATCTGTGTGTTTTACATGTTGATACTGCCAAATTATTCAGCATTGTTTAGCATTCTTTTAGGGGAGACGGGAGCACTAAATTTGAAGTGTGTTTTTAGAGAAATGGTGAAATTTCTGTRTTATTACATATAAGAAAAAAAGATGTAAATTGCTCACTTTTTCAGCTTTAAACATGTTTGTGGTTGTCTTTTCCTGTTCAAACTTATTAATGTTATTTCCTTTTTTTGAAAAACTATTAACATAGCTGTGTTAACTTAATAGTACAATATTAAATTATGGAACTTTCAAGCCATATAGAATATTATCACCTGCTGGCCAAATTTGTAACACATCTACATTTGTTTACATATTTTCTTCTGTTACTTTTGCACTGTCATAGAATTGAGTAACCTCGGTAGAAATAATATGGCCTGCAATGCCTAAAATATTTACTCTCTGGCCCTTACAGAAAAAAATTTTCTGATCCCTGGGTATAGATCGTTTTAGAAGAATCTTTTCAGTTCTTTCTCATTTTCCATAAATACTGTTTCCTAAAATTTATCAAAGTACTGACCCTGACACTGTAGGTCATTTCTTTTTCTCCTCTCCTTTTATAATTTCCCTTTGCCTTTGTTCTTTGTACAGAAGAAAGCCTTACCCCTGGCTCATCTTGAACCTTACTGTGGTGCATTGCCTTACAGTATAAAAATTTACAGGGACCATTTCAAATATTGGAGTTGGTGTTAAGAAAGTAATGACAAATGACTGAGTAAAATAGATCAGATGGTTTTATATATTTTGCTACAGAAAAAGAAAAAAAGTGGGAGGAACAAATGGAATTGTCAACTAGTAGATAATTAAACATAATTTTTAATGATAAGCCACTATAATCCCTGGTGTTAAATGCAGAGGATACTATAAGGACTTAATGATGATGCTGTAAAAGCTTCTATTTTATGAATAAATATTTTTGTCACTTCTACCTGTAAAAACAAAAAAATAAGAGTGGAATCAGTGCCGATTGCTGGATTATTTTATTTTCTAAAAGTTGAAATATGTTATTTTGACCCATAGTAATCATTAACTCATACAGATGAATTTAATACTTGGAGCATTGTCAGTTTATATACATAATTTTATTGCGAGGAAATTTGATATAGTCATAAGTAAATGACTTTCAGTTATACTACACTAAGATAAAAATTTGTAGGGATAGGGCCCAGGTTGTGGCTCAGTGATAGAGTGCTTGCCTAGCATGTGTGAGGCACTGGGTTTGATCCTCAGCACCACATAAAAATAAAAATGAATAAAATAAAGGTATTGTGTCCATCTACAACTAAAAAAAATTTCAAAAAAATTGAGTGGAAATCTGATGAGTTCAAAGAGAAAAATAAACAATTTGAAATTCCTAACAAAGATGGTTTTATTTATTTATTTTTATTTTCATTCTTTGTGGTGCTGAGGATCTAATCTAGGGCTTCATAGGCAAAACACTTTAGCCCTGAGCCACATCCCCAGCCCCAGACTGTTTTTTAAATGCATATCTGTAAAAGCAGAACTGTTTTATTTGAGATGCCAATATTTAATGACCTGGCAGTCACATCTTTTGTATTATTTTAAACTTGTGAAGAAAATGAARAATCATCTCTAAAAGATGTAAATGTATTTATAGATAGTTTAGCATTCTTTTAGGGGAGACAGGAGCACAAAATTTGGAAAGTGTTCTTTTAGAGAAATGGTGAAGACTGTACTAACAAAAAAGAATCAGGAATAAAATTGTCAGGGGGAAAAAAGTAAAAAAAGGAAAACACAAAATAAATCCTTAGAGCTCTGCTTACAAGAACAGTTGTAATAGAGCTGAGTGAAGTATTCATGACTTGAGTTGTTASTCATAATACCCATCTTGAGAGAGATATTACACCTGCCCTGTGTGTCTAAGCTGCAGCAGCTACAAAGCAAAGTGAAATCCTCTATCATGATATAAAAGATTGAAGAACTCACACATTTAAGTTTAAATGTGGTTCTGTTTCTTCTAATTTTAGAGAATATCTGTTAAAATACATAGGAATAGCGCTCAACTGTTTACACATGGTATTAAAGATAATACATGGGATACTAAAACATAAAAGCAAAATTGAAGTTTCTATAACTTAATGATGAAAGTTTTATGTCCCTTATCTAGTTAAAGAAGTGAAAACATAATGTTGCATAAAGTTCAGTTGTTTTTTATATTAACTATTTAATTCCTGTAGGATAAAATGGACCAGTTGCTACAGATGTTGCAAAGTACTGACCCCAGTGATAATCAACCAGATCTCCCAGAGCTACTTCATCTAGAAGGTAAACCTGTTTTCTGTTTACCTTGCAAAGAGAATAATTGGAGGTTCTATCTATTGTTCTGTTATAGATTTATTTTTTATTTTTTTGGTACTGGGGTTTGAGTCCAGGGACGCTCAACTACTGAGCCACATTGCCAGCCCTTTCTTATATTTTATTTAGAGACAGCGTCTCACTGAGTTGCTTAGGGCCTTGCTAAGTTGCTGAGGCTGTCTTTGAACTCACCATCCTCCTGCCTAAGCCTCCTGAGCTACTGGGATTACAGTTGTACACCATCTTGCCTGGCACAGTTATAGAATGGTTTTTAAGAATGATTTTAAACAAAACATTTCTCAGTCTTACTGTTTTTTTGGTGTGGTACTGGAGATTGAACCCACTGGTGCTCTACCACTGAATTACTGAGCTGCATCCCCAGCTCTATGTATGTATGAATTTTTATTTTTGTGAAAATAAAAAAAAGTCTTTGTAAGTTTTTGTAGCAGGCCTCAAACATTCAATCCTCCTGTCTCAGGCTTCCTGGATCACTGGGATTTCAGGCTTATGCCACTGAACCCAGCTTTACTCTGACTCTTTAAAATGCAGTTTAAACCTTGGGTGAAGTTTGAATTCTCATACTTTTTATCCAAATTAAACTTTTAATTCAATATTCTAGAATTTTATGAAATGAAAAAATTCTTAATTTTGAGATTAGTTTTATAGATTAAGTTGTCACTGTCATATTCTGAGAAAATGAGTTTTGGATTCTGTTGACTAACGKTAATTAATATTAAGTTTATTGCTCCAAATTAAATCTTTTATTATTAAAATTTTGTAATTATGTATCAATGGTTCAGTTTCTTTTATTACATTTTCTTATTTCTTCAAATCTTGTTATATTAGCAATGTGTCACCAGATGGGACCCCTCATTGATGAAAAGCTGGAAGATATTGATAGGTAAAAGAACATGGACTATATCTGTATTGTGTATATTTGTCCTTAAAACTGTCTCTATAAACTTCAGAGTGAGCTCTATTTGCTTTCACAGAAACCATTCCTTATTCAGTTGTTTTCAACTAGATGTGGGGAATTGGACTCATTTGCCCTTTTTAAAAGTGAGGATTTAATTGACTCTCCCTATATTCTTTTTTTTTTTTTAAACAAATAAGAGTTAAGTAGCCTACCTGGCATTACCAGAGCCCACAAATGATTCATTTATTAATAATTGGAGAAATCTTAAGTATTTCAGGGTACCGTCAATTGTAATAAATTATATTTCCCCTCAGCACAGTACCTAAATCTTAAACAGTTTTGGTTGCCTTAGCACTAAAATACAAGATAATTTTACATAGGTTGAATCTTTAATAATGTCTACCAATATTAATTTTTGCTATTTTGATATGTCATAGTTTAGAATATTTTATCATTTAAGTAAGCAGTTATGTTTCAAATTATTGTGTAATGTTTCAGGAAACATTCAGAACTCTCAGAACTTAATGTTAAAGTGATGGAGGCACTTTCATTGTATACTAAATTAATGAATGAAGATCCCATGTATTCCATGTATGCAAAATTACAGAATCAGCAGTATTATATGCAGTCATCTGGTGTTTCTGGTTCTCAGGTATGCTTTTAAAAGCTCAAGAATATTGTTTTAACTTTTCTAATGCATTTGAAATTGCTGTAATAGCTGTATTTTTGTAAAATATGAAATTTTCTAAAAGTAATGTTTAGAGTGAGAATAAAGTTTAATACAATTTTTTACTCGATATATGCAATTTATAATATATTAAATATACCAGTAGTTGTATTGCTCTTATATAGCAATAGGCAGCAAAATCAGCCATCAATCTTTTTATTTTATTTTATTTTAAATAGTTATTTTGGTTCTACTCTAGACCATTGAATAAGAATCTTTAAAGTTGAGGACCTAATATCTACATATTTTCAAACTTTGTATATAATGATTTGGTTAAGAACTGTAGTTTTATCAGTTTTTTTAAACTGTAATTTATTGAGTCAAATTTTTAATTATTACTAAGTTTTTCTGAGTATCTACTATTTTTATTTTACAATGACCTGATTATACGAAGTGTTCTTTCACAAAAATAATAGAGAGTACCAGGAAACTTTTGGATTGTTGGATGTTCATTGCATAGATTATAGTAATGATTTCACAAGCATGTACTTATCGCCAAACTCCTCAAATTGGGTACACTACATATGTACAGCCTTTTGTATGTATTATCTCAATATTGTATTTTTTTTAAAAACCCACAAATTAAAATGTACCATTTTCAGAGATGGGAAAATTCTCTTAAATATCTAATGACTTTTAGCAGCACATAAAGGAAAACTTAAATGCAATGGGAAAAATGGAATTGAAAAACTGTTAACCAACAAAATGTAATATTTTCATATGTTTTTAAAAAGTTGCTTAAAAGGGATTTCCCCCTTTTTCACATAAAATGCATATAATGCACTGTAGACCCCTTTTTTTTCTTTTCATCTGAAGCAACTGTTTAAGAGCCCCTTTTCCATAAATTCAGCAATTTCCAGGTATAAGGAATAATCAGCCAGATTCTTTTTTRTTTACAAAGATTTATCACAAACTTAGTTCAGAATTTTTTTTTTTTAAATGGGCCATTTTCTCTGAGATGAGGGTCTAGCACTAACAGCCAAGCCCTAGAAACATAAGGCTAGATGATATCTTCTCAAGGGTCTTCAGTACTAGTTTGAGTCAGGCAAAAAAAAAAAAAAAAAAAAATCATGTAAAGAAAAAAGTAAAATAGTTATAGGAGCTGGTAGACCTATGTTTATAATGAAGACCTTTTGGATTCTGATATGGTATGTGTTGTGGCTTAACAGAAGTCCATGATGATTATTGTCCTTGCCTCTTGGTGGTTGTCATATTAATTTAACACATAGTAACAATATTCTTAATATATTTATTTATTTATTTTTATGTGGTGCTGAGGATAGAACCCAGTGCCTCACCTGTGCTAGGCGAGCACTCCACTACTGAGCCATAACCCCAGCCCACATAGTAACAATTTTATTACAAAGACAGAAGTTGTCTTTTAAAAAGTGAATATTATAGAATATTAATAATTCCATGTTTAAGACTTTTGRTATTTAAAAACTTCAATCTCTTTAGACTAAAAACAGTACAATTTTTTAGATATAGTAGTAAGCAAATGAATCCAGCCTGCCTCCTGTTTTTGTTGTTGTTTGTTTGTTTGTTGTTTTTTAGATAACTTTCATTAAAACATAGCTATTCTCATTGTCTGTAGCTACATTCTATACCTGTAGATTGTAGTTGTTGTGACAGAGGCCATATGACCTACAATCCTAAAATATTTGCTACCTGGCCCTTTATAAGAAAACATGCTGACCCCTGCTTTAGAAAGTTAACTTGCTCACCCTTGTTTTAGAAAGTTAAGTTGCTCCAGGTTCAATAAATTGCAGTTTAGGAAATTTATATTATAAATAGAATTTATGGCATTGTAGTCTCCTAAAATGTGCCTCCTAAATGTCATTTTGGATTCCATATTATTATGCAAAATATTAAGTCTATGAAATAGAAATATTATGTTAGTATAAAGTTTCAAGGTAATTTMCTTTATTGCTTCTGTATTGCAATAAAAAGTTCAGGTAATGTTTAAAAACAAAAATCCTCAGCTGTCCACATCACTAAAAAGTGTTTTTTATAAAATGCTTATTGACAGAAGTAAGTTTTTAAAACATGATTCCAGAGAAATAATATGTGTTCTTTTTGTAGCTGAGTGCTTCTTCAGAAAATGTTTGGAATGTGTGTGAAAGTTTTACAATCAAGTATGTTTTCTCAATAACCATCCTAGGTATATCCAGGGCCTCATCAGAGTGGTGCTTACCTGGTTGCAGGGAATGCCCAGATGAGTCATCTCCAGAGCTACAGTCTTCCTCCAGAGCAACTGTCTTCTCTCAGCCAAGGAGCAGTCCCACCATCTGCAAACCCGGCCCTATCTAGTCAGCAGACTCAGGCTTCTTACTCAAAGTAATTTGATACATTGACTATTACTTGTGATTTTGCTGTTAAAATTCTTTAATTGCCTCCAATCATCAGTAAGCATAGATCTGAATAAGAAATCTGAGATAGAGGTCATCAGTGTTTCCAGACAGCCCCATTTATGGTGTTGAGTGGATTTTATAGGAACCCATTTGATACTACAGTTTTAGCTACAAGCCAGTCCATTGACTGAATAWCTCACTCAACTTCTGTATTTGGGGGGTAGTTTTGTATTTTTTGTATTCGTATAAGTGGAATATTTTTGTGATTTTGAATCTATGATGATATTTGATAATTTATTTAAAAAAACTGATTTGTAACTATAATTTATCATTTTCCCACAAATTTTACGTAAAATCTAAATTCTGTTATTGTTTTGGAATATACACCCTGGGCTATCTCTTTAAGAAAGCAAATATTTCCTTATTTTTGTATTATATTGGAATTTAATTTTCATTAAAGAGAGTGCACATTTGAAAAGAAAAGATGAAAAACATGATTTGCCTCTGTGGTTCTTGAGGCAGATAGCTAACTGATTATTCAATGACAGAGGCCCAGTTCTTTTGGCATTTACTTATATTCTTAGTCATGTAGTTAAATCATTATGAATTTTTAAGTATTTTATGTGTGTGCTTGCTTTATTGGGAATCTAAGCAGAATTCTTCCCCTTGAAACAAATAAACTTTAAGAGTTTACTAGCATGTAGTTTACAAGTCATGATATCCTGACTTGTGTAACAGACATTTCTAGGTGACCCAAGCATAATTTCTAGAAACCTTTCCATCAGTGTCTATAGATACTCTGTATTACCCTCACTATTGTAATATTCATTCTCAAAGAGTCACATATTGGAGAAGCCTGGAAATTTTAAGGAATTATCCTATTGTCACATCTAGTATTCCAGAGTCACTTAAGAAGGCATGGGACGTTTAGTATCTGCCAAGCACTCTACTTTATGCTTTATATATATTGATTCATTTGCTTCTTGTAATAACTTRGGGCGAAGCTATACTAGTATTTCTCATTTATAAAATGGGAAACTGAGACGGGGAGAGGGTTCTAAGATCCTACTAACTTCAATTCAAAGCCAGGCCTTCTGCTCCAGAGCTTAACACACGTGACCTCTATACTGTGATAGTGCAATATTGTGGTTCCTATTGGTGTAAAAAATTTGACTTACTGTAATATAACTATATATCACAGTGTAATGAACTAATAATGAGTGATACATATAGCAAACTAGCACATACTAAACATTTCAAGAATATTAGCTTTTACTGTATTTATTCTAACTATGTACTTCCTTACTTTCAATTTAAAGTTTCACTGTCTACCCAGTATCCTGGAACAAAACTCTACAATTCACCCAATATTTATTTTATGTCTGCTCAGCACTGTTCCCCTATCATAATATCCAACATAAAATTATTTGCTAATTTCCTAAGTAACTCTTCCATATTAATATCATCATATCTTGCAGTTAAACACTATAGAATTTCTTGCCTAATCTTCGTGGTTCTTTGGCTTCTAATCTTGCCTCTGTAAATTCATCTATCCTATTTCCATTTAAAAGTTCTTTATGAGCTTTCTCAGTATTAAGAGTTAAGCTGCTTAGCGTGCTCCTAGGACTACATGTTCTTCAATCCTTGTCAGTATCTCCAGGGGTATCTTCAATCAGTTAGTAACAGGGTGATTCCCAGCACACATCAGGCCTTTCACACTTTCCATCTTTCCTATACCATGGGTACCATGCCATTCCATTCCACCATTGTCCGAACATCTTTCTTACTTTTTTCTTCCCCTTCTGATCTAGAATAACACAACTTGAGTATATTTTCTTGGAAAACTTATTCACCTCTTTAAACACCTAAAGGAACTGTGCATATATCTTTATTTATAACTTATATTGTAATATAAACTACATATTTTTATGTTTGCTTTTACTAAATAGGAAGTGTTTTGAAATTAAGAAAYTCTAAGTAATGTTTATATGTCAGATGTCTGCCATACATACACTGATTTGTCCTTGAACCTCAGGGTAGGAGAAGCAAATTAAAAACAGCAAATAAACAAGCTTTGCTGTCCTTATAAAGTCATTTACTATCACTTTAAAATACTACCATCTCTACAAGTAACTTTTGAGAACTGAATCAGTGCTACCTTCTCCAATGAATAATAAGATTGCCCAAGAATGACAGAAGTCTGAAAAACTGAACTCTGAAACCAAAATTATCTGTAGAAAAATTTTAAAAAAGTCTTTTTAGATGTGTACTGAAGATCAAGGAAAACAAAGAAATAAATCCTGCCTGTCAAAAACAACAAAAAATTCTCATTGTCCGTAATTTGCAACTAGAAAACTCAAGTCAAATATGTAGCACACTTCAAGCAAGTAGACTTCTAACCCTGACCCTCACTTATTCCAATTTTGTTATATTACATTTGCTCTGCTATCATTTTTCTTATTTCTACACTGAAACACTAGGCAAACACATTTTTGTATGTATAYTTATGTATATATATGTATATGTGTGTATGTATATATATATAGTACATTTATATGTGTATGTATATATATATATGGTACATTTATACATAGATTCTTAAATTGACTCAAAGTTTTATGAAACCTTTATAAGGAATAAAGAAATACACCTCACTAGCTTAATATAGCACCTGAAATTGTCATAATTAACACTTAAACATTTATTTTTCAAATATTTAGCAAGTTCTTGTATAAAACTGTGTCCTGTGCAATGTGACTCAGTTCCAGTTCTTAGATATTATAGGTTAGTAGGGATTCATACAAGTAAAAAGGAAACTATCAGAGAATATACAATGATAGTTATACATTCAGGGTCCTCTGATGGTACACAGGAGGAACCATTCTAGAAAAGTGGGAAATCAAGGAATGTATCCTAGTGAAAATGAAGGTAAGCTAAGAATTAACTAGAGAATAAACAAATGAGCCCAGCCAGGAAGGCAGCTAATATTTCAATGACATGTTCTACAAAAAAACATCTGTTGAACATGTATTCCTTCAGAGGTGGCATTAATAGCGATACTAAAAATTGATAGGGTCAGACTCTGTATTAACAGTTTCACATACGGATAGTCAGATCTGAATAGGTAATGGTAGAGTTGATAAATGTGGTGGGGTGGTATATAGGTGGTTTCTTTTATTCTGTATTTTTAAGAAAATAAGAGAAATGAAACGATCAGTCTTTCATTATCAATAGTCCATTGGAATTATTCTTGTTAGGAACACCAGTGATTTCCATATCACCAGATCATGGGGTCAATTTTGTTTTTGTACCCAATTTTACAGTTTATTATTTCCTCTTTTTTGAAATACTATTATAGTTGGTCATGACCATTATGACAATTAGTTTTCTTTTATTCATTGCTACTACTACTCAGTTTCTTTGGCCTTACTCCTCTTTTCTTATCTTTCAGATGTGTAGGGCTGACCAGATGGACTGCTTTTTTCTCTGTCCACACTCTATAGGTTAGCTCATTCAGCTCTGTGACTCTAAGCACCATGTATATGCTTGATGACACTCAAATGTTTTTTCTACTCTTACCCTCTCCACTGGACTCCAGACTTGAATATCTGACTGCTTAATGTATTATGTTTTCTTGTATATTTTCTAGACTTCTCACTTAACATGTTCAAAACCATTCTTGATTCTTCTCCTCTTCAGTGAATGGCCATTCTGCCAGTTATTTTTACTAAGTATAAAATAAATACTGTAAATTTATCTCTCCTATCCTCAGGCATTCCCAGTTACTTTGTCCATAATTATATTTTGATGACATGATCTTCAAAATATGTGAATGCCCTTTTCTTCCTTCTCCACCCTGGCTTTGACTGCCTGTCAGCTCTCACCTGGAAAAATCTAATAGTCTCCACTGTTCTTGCTTCTATCCTAGTTTCAGGGTGAATCTAAGTGATATCACATCACCCTCCTGCTCAAAACCAACCAATGTCTCTCCATCTCATTATAAGCCAGAATCTTTGTGGCCTTCTAGGTACTATATATGCTATGGCCCCTCAATTCTGCTATCATATATCACTCTTACCTGTGCTTACTTGGCCATAGGCCTCTTTGTCCTCCTTGCTGTTCCTTGAACATGTGTGGTGTTTTCTCTCCTCAAAGGCTTCTTTTCTCTCTACCTGAAACAAACTTTTCCTAGATAATTGATATGGCTCCTTCCCTTCCTTATTTTAGGTCTTTGTTTAAATACTTCTGTTTTAGTCAGCTTTGTCTCGTTGTGACCAAAAGATCTGACAAGAACAATATAGAGAAGCAAAAGTTTATTTTGGATCATGATTTCAGAGGTCTCAATCCATAGATAGCCAACTTCCTAGTTTTTGGTTCCAGATGAGGCAGAACATCATGACAGAAGGGCATGGCAACACAGAAGCAGAGAGGGAGCCGTGCTCGCCAGGGACAAAATATAAGCCCCAAAAGCATGCCCCTGTGACCTATCTCCTGCAGTCACACCACACTTGCCTATAGTTACCACCCAGTTAACCCATGTCAGTGGACTAATCCACTGACCAGGTCACAACTCTCATAATCTAATCATTGACCTCAAGACATTCTTGCATTGTCTCAAACAGGAAAAGCACCACATATCCAAACCATAACAGTTGCTCTATCTGAAAGGCCTTYCTCTTCCACCATACAGAAACTAGAATCACTTGCTTCAGGACTTTTAGTCCTACTAACAGGCTCTCTTCCTTCTCACAGCACTTATAACCCATTGGCTTCTGCTAGAGTGGAAGCTCTATGATGGTAGTGATTTATTTTTATTCTACAGCATCCCAGTGCCTCAAATAATAATGTCTGACATCTGTGTCAAATGTTTAATAAACAGTTATCAAAAGAATTTAAATGGGGGCTCAGCTGTAGAGTGCTCACCTAGAATGTGCGAGGCCCTGGGTTTGATCCTCAGCACCACATATAAATAAATAATTAAATAAACAAACAAATGGACGAATGAACAAATAAATAAGTAAATAAATAAAGTCATTGTGCTCAAGTGCAACAACAACAAAAAAAGAATTAAGAATTTAGATGAATGAGTGTTTAACAAATGGCTTTACTGTTTATCTCTTAATGGCTATATTTTGGTAGTTGGCTAATTGGATGTTTTTCTCCCTCCACAGTGCAATGGTTCAAGGAAATACATATCCCAACCAGGCTTCAATATATAGTCCTCCTCCCACTGCTACTGCTGCAACTGCTGATGTCACTATATACCAGAATGCAGGAACTAATATGTCCCAGATGCCAAACTACAATTTAACATCGTCAACCCTGACTCAGCCGGGAGGCAACCATCAGCCGCYTCAGCCACAGCAACCATATTCTCAGAAGGCTCTGCTATAGGACCCAGTGTTCCTGTTTGTAGCAGATATCTGCTAAATGCCACTGACAATGTTATGAGATTCGTTAATTCTTAAGATTTGTTTATCCTCAGCTTATAGGAATCTATCTTGGTCAACAAGTTCAAATATTCAAGAAGGTAGAACTCTCTTCAATTTGCAAGGACTTTTTAGAGGGTCACCCCTCCACCAGAGGAATGAAACTACTTAACAATATTTGATTCCTTTCATAATATGAAGAGTTGACACAAGTTTGTCTTGTAAAATTACCTGGTCTGCAAAATGTCAAACTTAACAAAAACTGTCGTGGCAAATGTTATGTACATATATTGATATGTAACTCTATTAGTGGCCATTTGAATCACAATGGTGATCATGTGAATATATTTAACACTGTTAAATTAATTTACATTGCTATTTTATTTTAATCATGAACAACTACCTTGTTTCCTAATGTTTTGTGTAAATTTAAGATATTTACACTGTCCTTTTAAACTGCAAGAGAACAAAGTTGTAGCATATTTACGTGAAGTCATTGTTGTCTGTGTTTCAGTTTCACATTAAACTGAACCTTCCTTTTCCTAATTGTGATCTAAACTTGTGTAATTATGTCTTTCTGTAGCCTCTGCATACTACTGGCTGTCATCACACCAGCGTACAGTAGCTAAATTTTTGATGCAGTTATAGCAAGTGATGATGTTCCCTTTTGGACTTTTACTTTTTGGCATGATATTTCAGATATGTGGGACCATGAGACAAAATTAAGTAGGATTACATTCTTTACATCTTATTTTTAAAGAAATAATGTTGTTTTACTTTTTCCTAGTTGAAGATAGTAATTAGGTTTCTAAGCTGTATACTGTGTATATTGGTGGCAGTGACACCAAAGATAGAGGCAATGGATAGAAATTTTTTAACTGGAAAGAAAACACTACATTTTCAAAGTCTCTTGTAATTATTTAGGATACAAACAAAGTTTGATTCACCTGTCTTACCCCACTGCTAGACTTTTAAATATGTCTTTAACATTGTATCCTTGAATTCATCATTAAAATGGATATAAGTAGCTGTTTCAAAGTAATTTTATATTCCTGGCTTTACTTCACAATTTATGTATTTATTATTACCTTTCAGACTAGAGTTTTTAGTTATTTTCTGTCTTTTAAAGTTCTAATGAGTAATTTTGGCTTTATATTTGGGAGTATTTTTTAATACATTCATACAAGGAATGTTTCCACTGACATTTTAATCTTAAATATTTAAAACTTCACTGGTTTTACAGTACTATAATTTAACAATATTATTTAAATACCTGTTGAGTACATTTAATGAATTAACAGTTTTCATACTATAAGTGCAAATTGGATTTGTACTAAAACTATTGCAATCAGGTAACTGGTTTGTTTGCTTGTTGACAAATTTCTCCATCACTGGCATATAATTTTAATGATGATTAATTCTACAGGTTCCTATTGAAAGCATCATATTCAACTTAAATGTTTCACTCTGGTAGTATGTTTGAGTTTAGAGTGTGTTGCTCTCAAATAATAATTTTCAGTTTTCAATTTCAACTTCACACTTTAACTATTTTTTATAAGTTACTTTTGATAAACTTTGTTAAACAGATAATCTCTTTCATTTCAATTTGAATATTATATTTAACTGATAAACTTTTTCCCAAGTCATTGTATTTTTCTTTCCTTTGATGAATTCCTGTTTAAAACTGTATTCTTTCCCCATTTTAATTTTGATATCCTTTGTGTTACAAAATCTGTTAAGTATTCTCTATCCTTTTTATCCTATAAAAGTCAAAGAATGATGAAATGAAAAAATATCCTATTTCAAAAAAAAAAAAAAATATATATATATATATATATATATATATATTATTTGTTACCTATTGGTTATCAGGCTTAGGAAGATTTAGATGATGAGGACTTAAAACATACTATATTTGTTTGTGCCTTTCATTTATTAAGAATGAAAATATCAGGTAAAAACAATTTCAATGAAAAGGAAGCACTAGCTTTTCCATCTTTGAAATGACATGACAGAGGTGGAAATAGGAAGTGACCAGCTAGGATCACAAATGATTTTGGTTTGAGACCTTTGTGTTTTGCACTAGAAATCTTTATTACTAGCTGTTTTTATTTTAAAGGGGTAGAATTATTTATAAAATGAACTAATTTTAATGTAAACTTCTGTGAAACAAATTTATTTTTCAGTTTATTTTTTTTATAAAGTTTGAGATTTGTTTCCACCAAAGTAACAACTAAGTGGAAAAATCCAATTCAGTTACTATGTAGCATTAATAGCCAACAGACCCTATGGCTAATTGGATATGATAAAATATCAGTACCTTAAACCTAGTAGGAATTATTTGGTAATATATCCTTAATATGATGCAGTCTTTTCCAACTCTGTGGTCTTCCTTCACTATGATCTCTCGATTCTCAGTGGGGGACCATCTTATGTGCCTAGAGATGCACTTCATCTTAAATGCTTCTGGAACTTCTTTTCTATACCTCTTAGTTTTTGTATTTAAAATTGTTAATAGACCATTAACTGCCATTCATTTCTGTTAGATATGACTTTTATATGTGATAGTCTAATTGAGCTTGAAAATATCTTTTGTTCAAGGCTTCATTTGTATAAGACAAATCAGTGCCCTACCTGCTCAATTATGCAACTATAAAAATTATAGAAATTGTTTTCCAAAATGAGGTTTATTGGTATAATTGGTCAAATTTTTATCTAATATGCATTAAAATCACTATTTTCTTCTTCTCTATTTCCTTGTTTTGCTTACCAGTTATACTAATAACCATAAGTTCTTGTTGTATCATTTTAAATATTAATAACAAAACTATAGTTTAAAATTTTCACTCTAGTGTCATTTCCCAATTTTTTTTGGTTTGCTTTTGGTTTCAGGTTTTTATTTATTTGTTTTTGTTGACTAACTGTTTATATCCCTTAGATCTTACATTCAGTTATCTTTTATTTTAGAAGAAGAGTAGGAATACTGTATTGGTCCTTTGAAATATCTAATACTATGAATGGTGCTTTTCCCAACAATTTTTTTGTGTTGAGAATTTTTAGACCTACAAAAAGATTTGAGAGAATTATACCTTGAACAATTAAATATTCTTCATCTAGATTTTATAATCATTAGCAACTTGTTTTCTTATGTATATTTATACATGTATAAATATACATATTTACACATTTATATATGTATATGTATATGGATGTGTCCAAATGTACACACACACCCCATATTTTATTATGTAGCTAGCCAAGTTGTTGACATTGTAAACCATACTCATACAGACTGCTATATAACCTAAACCTAATATCACATCTAAGAAACCTAACAATTCTATAATATTACCAGATGTCCCAACTGTATAAGTGAGTGTGTATGACTTATATACAGGAACATATACCATTATTTCTTTTATTCTTTATGGTGTTATTTAACTTGATGCTGTATTTTCATTGTAGTGACTATTCTATATTCCTAAGAGTTAACAATCAGAACCATATGATTTATGGTTCAAAATAATGAAACTAATATTTTCATGATTATATCAGAAGCTGTTCTCATAAATGAATATTGTTAACCTTAAATTATTTGTATATGCTGTATAATAGACTCTAACCTTAGGCCATTGACATTACTGTAGCTCACTATAGTTGTTTTTCTGTTCTTCATTTTCAGTTGTGTTCAGAGTRACTGAAGAAAGTTTGTATCCCCCTCTCCAAAACGGCTCCTCTCTCGTTCAAACCTAAATCAGTTTTTTCTCAGCTCATTCATCCACTGGACTTACTCTAGCTGACTTTTGTGTAATTTTAGAAGTACAGTCAGCAACTATAGGGCTATATTTTTGGATACATAAGTTTTAGCATGTTTGTTTTAAAACTTATCTATAATTATACCTTCTGTTAAGAAGGGAGGGAAAGTTCTTTCTTTTTTAAAAGTTCTAATTGTAACTTAATTTTCTCCAAGTTGGTTACCAAATTGAAAGCAAGCTGAGTAAAATGTATAAACCACAGTCCAGGTAGAAACACATACAGGTCACAATAATGTTTAGGACCTTAAATTATTTCAATTGGTTAAATGGCTTTTTAAAAAGATATATAATAAATACTTGCAATCTATTGTTTCGGTGGCAGGATATGTAAGGTTTTTTAGCTTCAAGATGATTATATATCTTGCTACTTTAAAGAGTTGAGAAGGTGTTTTTTTTTAAATTTTGCATATAGTATTATCTGTTAGGTAGGTAACATATCAAATAGGAAAATTGGTGAAATGTACATAGAATATGGTTTTCTCTAAACCAAAGAACTTAAAAAAAAGTTTCATAAGTACTTTTGATATTCTGTAATTTTAAAAGGAACGATCAACACCAAAGAAGTTGGTGAAAGTGACTGAAGAAGTTGTAATCAAGAATATAAAATCAAGCTGGGCACAATGCTGCCTGTAATCCTAGTGACTTGGGAGGATGAGGCAGGAGGAGCACAAGTTCTATGCCAGCCTCAACAACTTAACGAGGTCGTAAAAACTTGGTGAGACCCTGTCTCACATAAAAGCTGATGGTGTGGCTCAGTAGTTAAACTTCCCAGGGTTCAATCCCAGTATCAAAATAAATAAGTTGATCCAGGCTCTGCATCATCTACTTCTGTGGCCTCAGAGCAGCCTATGTCTCCTGGAAGCTGCAGGTGTCAGGAGATCCCTAGGGAGGACACTAGGTCATCCCAAAATGAAGAAACAATGACATGTTGTTTACTAAGGAATGTACATAACCTTTAAATTTGAGTCAGGCAGAGCTGCAACTCTGCAGCTATACATATATGGGATATTTTTAATAGCAATTTTTGCTTTTTAAAGAAATTTTTTTTTTGTAGTTGTAGATGGACAGAATGCCTTTATTTAGTTTTTTGATGTGGTGCTGAGGATTGAACCCAGTGCCTCATGCATGCTAGGCAAGCGCTCTGCCGCTGAGCTACAGCCCCACCCCCATATATAGGATATTTTAGAATTCATTGGGCTTTTAATATATGACTGTGAAATTTATCTAGGAAGAATGGTCTTTGCTGCATCCTTCCCAGATGAATGTTTACTTACACGTAATATAGAAAGTCTTCAGAAACCTGGCTTCTATAGGAAGACCAAAACATTGCAGGTCAGAACAAAAATTCTGGGGAAAATCTAAGGTGCACACACAAACAGACCACATGAAAGTGGAAAATGTGAAGAGAAGCTTAAGTTTAAATCGCACAGGAAATTATTTTTTTTTACAAGTACTCAAACATAGATGATTATGTACACTGAAAATGGACTTTACAAATGTATAAGTGGGAAAAATGTTCATTTTTTTCAGTTCTATTCTAAACATGCATGTAGTAATACTGGAGAGAAGCCGTATGCATGTATACAACATGCTAAAACCTGCACTAGTTCCGCTTACCTTCATAGACATGAACAGACTCATGAATGTAAACATGTGGTAAAGCCTTCACTTGTTGCAGTTAATGTCACACATGAGACGTCACACACGACAGAATTCACATAGGAGAGAAGTCCTATGAATGTAAACAATGTGGGAAAGCCTTTTTCCCATCACCTTTAAGTGCATTATACTGGTGAGAAGTCTGATGCATGTAAACAATGTAGTAATGCCTTCTTTCCTTCTGCTTACCTTCACATGCATGAAAGAACTTATAAAGTCCTATGAATGTCCACATTGCAGTAAAGCCTTACAGAGTTTCAAATATGAGAATAAGTTCATACTGGAGTAAAGCCTTATGAATGTAAACAATGTGGGAACACTTTTTTCTCAGTCTGCTTACCATCAAAAAATATGAAAGAATTTACACTGGAGAGAAGCCTTATGGTATAAACAATGTGGTAAAGCCTTTGCTTATTATTTCCCTTAAAAATCCTTGAAAGAACTCAGTTGAGAAAAGATCTATGAATGCAAACAATGTTTTAAAGCCTTCACCGTCTTCAATTTGACTAGACAACATGAATGAAACTAATTCTGAATAGAAGTTTATGAATGCAAATAGTTTGCTAAAGCCTTCAGTAGTCCACTTATCTCCAAATACATGAACAAACTCAGAAGCTCTATGAATGTGAACAGTGTGGTAAAGTCTTTGCTTACAGTTACATTCAACATCAGATAATTCATACTGGAGAGAAGTCCTTATTAATGAAGGTAATGGGAGATAATCATGTTATTATATTTTTCTTTGTAGACATGAAAGAAGGTGTACTAGAGAAAAGCCCTTTGAATACCCAAAGCTGCTATAACATCCCATATTTCCATTCACCTCAAAGATTTAATCCAGAAAAAAGCTTTTTCTTCTCTTTTATTAGAATACAGTAAATTTGAGTGCTCTCAGTTACTTTCAAAGCTTTTTCACTCTTACTGTAAAACAACCTCTTGAGTGTGTTTCCTTTTCCTTTCTATACATGTAAGTTCTCAGTGGAAAGAAACCCTCTGGACGTGAGGAATGTAGGAAAGCATACATTTTCCTGAGTTTCTTTAAAAGACAAAAAGATTCACACTAATAAGACACCTCATATAAGTAAAAAATGTAAAGACTTCAAATGTTTTATTTCCTTTTTTGTATTAGTTTTCTGTTGCTGAGCCAAAATATGTGAAAGAAATTAACAGAGAAAGACTTGTTTTGGCTCATAGTTTCAGAGCTTTCTGTTC